GGAGATTGTCTTTGGATTTGGTCTCATCTATCAGTTCCGGGAGTTTTGCGAACTTTTTCTTATCGTACGAGAAGTCGTGGTATTGATCCATATAATCGATGTCCAAATACATGACATCCTAACAGATGATAAAAAGTTGCATAAAATTTGTTGAATAAATACAAAGGTGTGATAACTTACGAGAGGAACGTTAGCTTTCAGGTTACGGTCGATAACACTGCGGACATCGTCGGTGCCCTTATAGCCCCATCGGGTTAACTGAAAGCCCAGTCCCCAAAATGGTGGTAAAATAGGCCGTCCGATTAGGGACGTATACAATTCAACCACGTGTTCCGGATTATCGCCCAAAAATACAAACATATCGATCACACCACCGATCGTACGGAATGACAGACCCGGCTCAGGGAGTAGTGTGTAATCTATTTATAATGAAAATAATTTTTTATAGCTTTTATGACACACAGAATATTCTGTGGTTTGTGTTTATAATAATAATAATAAAATTCTGTGCATTCAATGAATACCCATAGCATTGCTGTTGAGAAGTAGTATTCCGTGAGATTTGCCGTCACTTTCTAAACACGTGTAGAAAGGGTGGACACCGTAGTAATTAACTTGCTCCTATATGTTTAGAGTTAATTATATTATTAATTACAATATTGTATTGAATATTAATTACATAAAACGATAAATAATATAATAGTACTGTGAAATGTCTTAATCAATGGCTAATTATACTAATTCTTTCTAGGTAAATGTGTATTAAAAGTGTACCTCTCCAGTACCATGGTCCTGGCTAAACAATGGGAATGTCTTATAATTAGTGAAGTCATGTCTGAGGGAATGGTGTGTATTCTCTCCCATTCCGTAAACATTTTTTGTGGGCAAACGAGTGGCTATTTGTAGCAATTGGTCGCCATATATGAGACCACCGATAGATGTGTCAAATCTAAACAGTAATTAGATTTAATTATAATTTATATAACATAATTCAAAACTATATTTTGCATACATTTTAGTTTTACTACTCTTTCTGGTGATAGTAAACGTGAAATCATCGCTAATTTCATTGATATCCACGTTATAGACGCGTTGGTCATCATTCAGATAATTGAGTTTTTGTTGGAGAAGCGGGAACTCCGTCTGAATGGGGACTTCATATCGGATGGCCTTCGGGTCCACTATTTTCACTCGAAGTATATTTTCGGTGAGATATGAGACGTCCACTCGAAGTGACTCTATTTGTGGCACTTTTTGCAGTGTCTTTCGGGCCGTCTCTTTCAGCTGTAGCTCAACNGAAGTGACTCTATTTGTGGCACTTTTTGCAGTGTCTTTCGGGCCGTCTCTTTCAGCTGTAGCTCAACCTCCAGACCAGTTGTCTTGGTCTTCACGGGTCCCACCCTTTTGTAGCCCACATTCTTGGGGTCCAAATAACACAGGGGTAGGCCTTCCGGACCCTTCCATTCCGAGTCCCAAATACAACCCCTTTCCTCACACGAAGTCTTATCCACTTTGAAGTCATCTATAAATCAATGAAAAATATTTTTGTAAATTATTGCAAACATTAGCTATAAATTAGTAAATAATTTGTATTTATACTTACACTCCAAATAGCAGTCTAACCGATCATTTTTGGAGCATTTAATTAGATTTACATTGAGTAAAAATAGTATACTTGTAAAACATAAATAAACTTTCATGTTTTACCAGTGAAACAATACTTGATATGTCTATAAAATAACTGTTATTTGAATTTATTATTTTTGTCCTTTTATACTTTATTTACAAGTTGTGTTAAGTAAAGTCAATGCGTTAAGCTTTTATCTCTTATCAACTTTTTATAGACAAACAAAATAATTTTAAAGGGAACTAAACATATGTTATCAATGTTATCGTAATACAAGTTTATATGCACACAAATTCTTGTATTTTGAATTATGATAACTTATATAATCAATCTTATAAAATATAAACTATGGTATAGTAATACAGTATAATTATAGTATTTATATAGAAACTATTTACATAGTTCGTTATAAGTTATAACCAACAAATAATATTTATTTATTTAACACTCAATTTATAAATTATTTATTTTTGTTTTATAATGTTTGTAATTAAACGCATAGATTATATAGAAAAAGAAAAATAATTTTTATTAAAAATATAGTCATTTAATCAAGATTATATTTAATTAGTTGTGTTATTTAATATGATCAGGTACATGTATAAATATTAAGTCGAGTAATTTTCCGCAATTGAAGAATAATACAAGAATTATTTATACATGTGTTAATCACAATGGGAAATATACTGTATATTATTGTATTAATGTTAAGAATTTTAAATTCCTATCCCAATCACATCCTGAATATTTTTATCTACAGTATAACAATATTGTAATTGTTAATTGATTTAATGATATCTACAAATATGTAACACATTCATCAAATTGATTTTTAGTGAAACTTTAATTTTAAAATCTTGATGCAATTATTATTTTTAGAATATGTTTTAATTTGAATTAGTAAATTTAGTATATTAAAAGTGTATTTAACAGAATATTTAGTTAATATATATTTAAATATTTGAGTTAATTGATCTTTTTTAGGTACATATAAATTGTTTTATAATTTAAATTAAAACATTAACATAAAAATTGTATTATTTATAGGAAGATCATGTGAACGATTTGTGTCAAGGTCATGATAATTATCAAAAATAACGTAGCTGCCTGTTAATACATTATAATTATTTTTAATAATATGCCACCTAGTACACACATACTCTTATAATACAAATTTTATTATACTGAATTAAACAATTAATGTAATAAAAATAATATTTAAAAAGTAACAAATTATACCTAAATAGAAAATAAAAACAAAATAATTATTTTACAATAAAATTACTATAATTCTATTAATTAGTATTTAGAAAGTTATTACTTAAAATGTCTTATTTTTATTCAGTGCATTATTCATTTAAGAAATACTGTGCCTGGGTACATTATGTGTCAGTAGTGTTACACAGATAGAATATAAAATACAAATAATTATCTTGTAATTTAAATTAAATGAACATTTATACAAAGTCACTAAATTTTTTGTTTTAAGCATAGTTAATATTGTTAAATTGGTATTATTTCAGTGAATTGATTATTGACGAAATGGAATTAAAATTAGCTGTAACACCCGTAAGAATAATACCTTGCTAATATAAGTATAAATGTCATTTAAATTGTTTATTCTATGAAAATATAATAGTTTTATCCAGTTATATATTTCAACCAAAACCGTGAAATTGAGGGCAATTTTAAAGAATTTCTTGATATATTAAAAAACAAATTTAATATTAGGTATTCGGTATTAAGAATTATATAAAATGTTTGAAAATTTGTTATAAATATTGATTAATTATAGCAATAAACTATTGATATCAGATCGGGGTTGGCCTGGAGTTATTAACATGTTGGTGACCAATGTAAATATATTAATTTAATTACAAAGTTAACACTTATTAACAATAGATATTCTAAAGTTTTTATATATTATGTTTGATAAATGTTTCAACACTTGTCACTTAATTACCCATTAAATTATATAAACCAAAAGCTTACTTAAAAATAAAAACTAAGTATTTAGTAATTTATGACTAGTATTTAGTATCTACATGATATATAATGATAAAAATATTAACCAAATTCAATTTTTGGACATGCCTGTATAGCAAGTGGACATGTCATTAGCCGGGTTAATGCCACTGTATGAACGACTCAAATATATGAGTTTCTCGAAAAACATGATCTTTAGTTCGTATGTCATACTAACCAAATCACACCAACACCGAGAAAATAGCGATCTATTGGATTACTTGATGAATATCCGATGGGATGTATGGCTGGCATTGACAGCCGTTTGTCTTATTATTTTATTGCTTAATATTTTTGATAAATATTTATTTGGCACTAAAATACAGATAAACATTTGGAGTCTCATTCGTGTGCATCTTAATCAACGTAAATATTATTCTATAATATATTATATAGATTATCAAGTTTATAATTTTTAAATAAAATTAAGATATATTTATTTATTCAATGATATGTGAGTATGATTTTGAATTCACATATTATAGATTATGTAACAACCAGGGGGTTAAATTCAATAACAGCTCTATTATCGCTATATATAATGTGCTATACATTCATATGTGTGCTCATGAATGGATTTATTGGTGTGAAAATTGTGCTAGTTAGTCCGCCCGATGAAATCAATTCAATCAAGGATATAGTCAATACAAAGGGAGTCATACCATCCATTTATAAATTAACACTACTTGAAACATACTTTAAGGTTAGTAAATTATACTAATTAGTACCTGCACATTATAAATAATAAAAATTCTTAAATGAATACAAGTTTATAAACCTGAAAACATAACACATTTACCACAATACTATTTATTACCGGTAATCATTGAAAATTACATAAATATTATATAAATATAATTTGTATAAATTAATTTTCAAAGATTACACATCACCAAATGACTTTTATAAATGAATATAAATTCTACCACATGTCCCCAAAATTGAGTAACCTAGAACAGATTGTACAAATTGCTTATATAGTATATTATAACTAAAATATTTGTAATACACAGTAATAAATATTTGTATGAAATATGATTTACAGAATGAAAGTGAGAAACCATTTCACAACCAAATATGGGGTCTAATGCGAGACCATAAAGACGTGTCATTGCGTGTAATCCCCGCTAAACCTACCGATCAAGTCGTCGGCTTTAATCACAAATTCTACTCCTATTTGGCAAACGGACGGATGGCTTTGTTTGAGCCGGATTACCTCACTGAATTGATCAAGGATGTCTACTGTCGCAAAGTGCCGACCATGAGGTGGCACGTGTCGCCGCCCATCGACGTATCGCCCCTTAGGTTGGCGTTTGCTTTCAGCAAATATTTGGCTCAACATAAAATTAACAGGATCAATTTTATGTGATTATGATCATCCATTTATAATTAAATACCCTCTATTTATTAATTTATTATAATGTGTTGCTTATCATTTACAGTAATCTAGTTAGGTTTGTATAAATTATTTTGCATGTGAATTTTAAAGTTTGAAATATTCATAGTATGATAATTTAATTTTAAAAAATTATATTCTACATCCATTTGTGGAATATTGTGCCTATTCCCATTTAACAACTAATGTACCATGTACAATTTATATAATCGCTTATAATTAATTACTTTGTAATTTTGCATTAGTATTGAAAATTTGATATCCAATGGACTGATGAACAAATGGTTCACTAATACGAGTGTAATTGCTCAAGGATTTGGTGGTCAACTCAATATGAATTGTATATCACATCAAAGTCTTAAGGAAGTGCCCTTGTTCACTCCCATCTCCAACGTTAATTTAATCACATTTTGTTACCTATTGATGTCTATATTATTGGCAGCAATTGTAACATTGATTTTGGAGTTTATTTTGTAAACATTGAATAACTATCATAATAATTATCATGAAAATGTTCATTGATATTTGTAATCGAAAACAATAACTTATATTAAATTATTCAAATGAATTTACAGCTAAATTTATTTTGCTCTGATCCACAGTATAAAATTGTATAAATAAAAATTAATTAAAACCTTAAAATAAAATAAAATAATTATTAGACAAACACATTGATTTGACAATTAAATGGGTAATGTTTAATTAATCTTAATAATAATATACACGAATAGCATATAAACTAGTTTCCCATAGGACTATAAAACCAGGTACAATTAATATAAACTTTAAGTCAAAATGTTCCGCCTAAATATGAACATAAAAATTGATATTATTTTTGTTTGTTATTATAATAAAACTGATATTAAAACAAAGAAATATTTTCAAAAAGTGTAAGAAAATTAATATAATTATGGCATAAATATCAGGGTTAATGATTTTCTTATTACATAAACTTATAAATAAAATTTAATATTCTCACAAATAAATATATGGTATATACATTTACTATAGTTACAGTATATTCATATAATACCTTAAATGATATAAATTATAAATGAAATTTAATATTATTATTATTATTGTATTCCTTGTAAGATAAACATATCTTAATTAACCATTTTAGATAAATTAAATTATTATATTTTCACACCATTTACTGTTATATAAATGTATCTATAAACTGTATACTAAACTTTAAACTAAAATAAAGTTATGAATTTTAAATATACAGTAAATTAATATAAGTGCACTTGCATAAATTGTATCTTGTTTTAAAAATATTTAAATAAAATAGCATATTTACATAATCTATTACAAAATACAAAATATGTTAACGATTAAGTATTTGATTAAAAATAAGGGATTAATTTAATCAGTGATAATTTTTAAATTATCTCAAGTGTTTACGTCGAGATTTATATTATATCAAAAACTGTACTGGGACACCATAGATACAGATATATAATTGATGTATAATAGATAAAAAGTTTATTTAAAAGTTTAAATCATTAGCCGTAAAAAACTCCGACACAACCGTGTTCAGTTAAATTAATTATCAATTTAATAAATTATAGTCTTTTAC